AGGTATTCCAAAGGGAAGCAAAAGGAAAAGTCTGCAAACCCACTTTTGAAATTTCTGGTGAGATCCTGAATTGGAGAGTTAAATGCATCTTTCTACTAAATGTGTTGGAATAAAAAGTCACAGAGATAAACCATTTTGGATGAATATTTCCCCATCCTGAGAAAACTTCAAATTCATGTAAATATGCAGTCCTTTGCATATTCAGGTCTTATAGAAACATTCAGATATCTAAAGATAAAGATAAATTTAGCTTTTTTAAAACTTACTATGTACTAGGTCCTCCAGTAATTGCCAAGGGTGCAGAAATAAAGATGGATAACCACAGAGAACTCACAGGCCGCAGGCATTGCCCTCGAAGTTCAGGTTCTAGTGTGGGTGCTACATGTGAGCACGTTGCATATGATTGGTGTTTGCTCTCAAGGGCATACGTGGCACATTTTGGACTGGGGGAGCAAGGAGTTTGGTTTTGTAGGGTAGACTAACTCTGAGAAAAGCAAGAAATCTTTACAAATGATTTGATTTATCTTGAAAAAAACTTATTTTCTAGATCAATAAGAAATAAGGAAATGGGAAACCTCGGTGAATTTTAGGCAGTGCAAGGATCTGATATGAATATGTTCTAGGAATCTAGAAAAGGATAGAGAGGCTTGAGCTACTGACCTGCATCCACATCCTCTCAATCTTTATTTTGACCTGCATTATATCCTGGCTGCCTGGTCTCTCTTCTTCCTATGCATCTCCATAATTTACAAACTGGTCTTTAAGGAAATGTGCTTTATAGCAATTATCTTAATATCATAGTTTCTTATTTGTGTTCTTCTTTATCACCTGTCACGTCCACATTGAGATAGCCACTCCATGAGAGCAGGGACCTGGTCTAGATTCTCACCTGCTATATCTCAATGTTTAAATCAGTGCCTGATATCATACTAGAGCTTATAAACATTTATCAAAGGCTCCATGAAAGAAACTGACTTGACACTGAACATGCAATATTCTAACTGCTCTCTTATTAAACAATGTTATAGATCTAAAAGACATATATGCTTTGCTTAGAAATAGCGTTGTGGCATTTAAGGCAATATTTTCTTTCTTGGCATTTTCTCCCATTCACTAAATGAAACTTTGTGATGTATGTGGAACACTCCAGGTTATCAAGGAAGGCTAAAGTAGGGCATATCTAAATTGGAGCCAGAAATATTTTATTTCAGCTTTTCATAGCTTTGATCTTTCTGGTTTTAGGAAAAATAAAGAATTCATTTCAATCTTGAGTAAAAAAAGCATGAAATAACCAACTTTTTTATGCCAGCTCCAGAGCACTTTTTATCTTTTCCTACCTGTATCACAGATTTAATTCAGGAACCAAGCTGTTCTATAGACCTATTTGAAGATCATCACCAATAGCCAGAGCCATTATAGTTAGCTTTGAAAATCCACCCTTCATTACACTAGCTCCTTAATGTTAATGATTATGGTAGAGAAGAAAAGATGCTGGTCCATGACCCTTGCTGGCTATAATTAGAGGATGCCTCGGACAGCCTACTCTCACAGAAGCAGAGCACTTTGGAGGGCAAAGAGTTGGAGGCGAGTTGGGCATTTTTTGCTCTGTAGATTTGGGGGCTGGAAAGGATGATTGAGAGTTCTACTTAAGGGGGCAACAGAAGAGAGGAAAATGCCAGGGATCCCTTGGCTCATCAGACAATGCAGAGAAACTAAAAATTACAGAAGTGGAACGCTAGGCAGCCAGCGGGGCCACAGTCGACTTTTCCCAGGCACAGTTCCTATCATCACCAAACTGAAAGGGAGAAAAAACCAATACCCCTGGCTAGCAAATCCTGAGGCCCTTTTTTCTATAAATGGAGAATAAATATAGATAGAAGATAAAAGGTTAACACTACTTTTGTAGAGGCAATGTACTCACTAGCACTTTGACCTAAAACAATTTATTGTTAATTGTTCATGAAGATATAGAGAAGACTAGCCAGAAATTCAGACGTTTGCTGAACATGTTCAAAATATGGATCTAAAGAAAAAAAACCATGTTGATTATTGATTGGGTTTTTTTCCTGTTTACATTTGTAGGTACAACATTTTACAACACAGTCAAATATACAGGGATGTAGCAGTATTATGAATATTTAGAGGATGTTCCATCCCAGTAGAATCTAATACAGAACATCCACCAAAAAGGGGAAAAAAATTCAGACAGGAGAGGAAAACTTACTTGTCATATAGAATACGCTCCATTTATAGTTTCATTTGAGATATTTCATAGCTTTGTTCAGAAACCATTGTGCAAGTGAATGCATTTCTTTTTTCACTTCCTTACGAGTATGACACTCTAAATGCATAGCCAGAATCTTGATGTTCCATCTTCTCTGCTAGTGAACAAATCTTGGCTGCTCTTTTAGTAATGCAGAAGACAATATAGCTAGAGAGAAGTCATAACATTTCTAAACAGCCAAATGAATCCTCATTTTGTATCTGGGTAGAAATGGAGAGTTTTACATGAAGAGTTGCTGCTCCATCACATTCCAATAATATTTTTATTGATAGAAACATTTCTTCCCCATTTCATTGTTTGGGACCATGTGTTTTTTTGGTAGATTCAGGATGTGGTTTTGTGTCTGACTGAATAACTTTGTGTATCCTTATATACACATGAAAAAAGTATTTTGTTTCAAGAATTTATAAAACTTTCGAGATACTTAGTAATTTCCTAAAATATCTTGAAACTGGAGCTAGTACCTATGGAGTATGTGTTTTCATGTCTATCTGGCATTTGCAGCTTGAGAAGAGAGGACCTCAGCAAAGCCCTGTAATCTGTTGCTTTGCTTTCATTCTCATCCAACTCTTACACTTCACCTCTCCATAGAGTCATCTGAGTGAACTTTCTAACCCTCGCTAATCACATCCCACTTGCATCATCAGATGCTATTTAGACGTTCAGAATAAAGTGCAAATTCCTTAGTGTAGTTTCCAAGAAACTTCACAATCCAACTCTGGCCCACTTCTCAGTCATATTTTGTCCCAGGCCCTTATATGATCTGCGATTCCTCCATCCATCCAAGTATCCAACCACTTAAAAATCTGTTTGAGGGCCTGCCGTATCCAGGTCAAGATGCAGGTGCTGGGGGTACAATGGTGCATAACAGATACATTTCCAGATAGAGATAAATAAATAGTTCTATAATGGTAGGGGATATGTAGGATGCTGTAAAAGCAATAGAAAGGGCTGCTACCCCAGACCTGGCTGGGGTGGAATGGTCACAGGGCTTCCAAGGAAAATTAATATCTAAGCAGAGACCCAAAAGATAGAAAGGGGTCAGGCAGGCAAATAGTATAGTGACTGCTACTCTAGGAGAGGGAAGAGCTTTCTCAATGTCCTGGAAATGGGAACATTTCTAAAGAACTGGAAGAACTTTAAGATGGCTACAGTGAAGGACTGTGCTGGAGGACGAATTATTTGCAATTGGCCCAACGTGCCCTTCGCCTTCACTCCTCTGTTCCCATCTCCTGGGTTGGGAGGAGGGGGCGTCTTCCCATTGTCTGCCTGATGAGCTCCAAGTCATCACTTCATGTTTCTCCTCCTCTCAGGAGTCTTCCCCAACCACAGCATCACTACCGGAGAGAAACTTCCACAGCATCTCCTTTGTGCCCTGTGGCATCTATTCCATACTGCGCTTATGGTGTTTCTCAAGTTACAAAGTCATTGGATATTTTCTGACACTTTCACTCAGTTATGTATGCTTTGCGGGTGAGGATTTTGTCCTCGTCTTGTTTTTTCAACACAGCACAGAGCAAGGCACATGGAAGATACTCAAATTTTTGAGTGAAAGTAGTAGAGATAGTTAAAATATTGTCCTTTATTCTTACAACCCATCCGCAAATGTATTGATCTGCGTTGTAAGATAGGCAGTCTTCTCTGGACATGTATTGGGGAATGAAATTAATTCAAAGCCTCCCAATGAACACATGAGTGACTCATGGCATCTTATCTCCCCCAGATAAAACAGAAAGGGATAAGCCACAACCTGGCTTGTTTAAAACGCGCTACATAGGCCACGTAGCCTTCCGGGGAGAATAATTAATTAGATTTGAATGGAGACAGAATAGAAAGAAATGCAAATATTTGATCCTTTTTTTGAGTGAGAGGATAGAGTTCTTTTTAATGTGCAAAGCATGTTTTAGGAAATCTTTGGAGTCCCGGCCCATCAGAAAAGGAACACAAAGCAAGATACCGGCGGAGGAGTTCCTTTTCTTTAAGGTGTCTTCTTTTAGAAATTACCTTTCTTTTCAAATTAAAGGAAAACATAAATTGTAATCAGCAACTTTTATTAGATCAGCAGGATGCCAATAAACGCCCTCTCCTCCTTCTACCTCTCAAAGAATCTTTGTAGCAGCAAGGACGGAACGTAAAAGAAAAGGCCATCAATTTAGGAAGGCAGGAGAAAGAGAAAGAGAGCAAGAATAAATGAGACTCAGAAAGGAAAGGTGATGGTGGTGCCCGAGAGAGGTGGTGTGCTGTGTGATCCCAGCTTCCCTGGGCTGGAAGAGACTCCAAGAGACAAGGGGGGAAACAATCCCTGTAGTTATCCTGCTGGGGAAATAATGGATAAATTACAAAGGGAAAATATTCTCTCAGAAACTGCAGCTCACTTACATACATTTGGATTGTATTATTTCACTTCTTATTAAAGGTAATGCTCTTCTCTCAGAAAGCTCCTGTGGCATAATGAAAAAAAGAATATATGCAAATCGTGCTATTATTATGAAAATAACATGATCTCTTCAAAAGAGGAACAAAAGAGGAACAAAAGATTACAACTAACAGAACAGACCAGATATGTGGCCTCATTTGTATTTCATGGCTACAAGTTTAAAGCTATCCTACATAAATGACTTAAAAACAATGAGCCCTCAAAGAGACACATGCTCTAGCTACCCTACATAGCACCAACCACTTTCTTAGCATATCATGCTACCAACAAAACTCATACCTTCCACGGTTGCTCGCTTGGGCTGAATGGTGATGGCTCCTTCTGCAATATCTTCATGCTGGTGCAGTGGATTTATTTTGGATCCCCAGCTGTCTGATCCCACCCAAAGAAAATGGCCCACTTGGTCAGCTCTCTTGGCTGCTGCAAGGATCTGCCTGTGGAAAGGAACATGAAAAGGTATATTAATGATAAAGAGCAGTTGTTGAACATATACATAATAGGAATCAAGCAGTAGGAAAGCAAGCTACTATTTCTCAAAAAATAAATAATCAATGGCAAAAAAGTAAGCCAATGGATTTATATCCTTAATATATGAAGAGATTTTGTAAATGAATAAGAAAAATCATCAAAGCAGCTTGAGGAAAATAGGCAAAGAATATTAAAAGTCAAAGATAAAAGGAGAAATATAAATGACCAATAAGCTGGTCGTTCACATGGATTAGAAAAGAGGAAAATGTGAATTAGAACAAGATATCAAATTCACTTCTTGTATCGGCCAAAACGTTTGTTTTGTTTTATTTTGTGTTGTGAGTTTTAGCATGGGGCTAGATAAATGAACATATATTGCATTTCTGGAAAGTAATATGTCAGTCTAAATGAAGGGTCTTAAATTATTTATTAAAATGAACAGAACTCCATGTTAAGCTTGAAAAATGGACAACCTATGTTTATGAATAAAAATAGTATATGACTAACAAGGGAAAATAAAAGAAAACAAGAGAAACTAGCTATTCATGAAAAAGTTACTACAATAGTATTTTTGGAAGAACAGGGGATGGATAAGAGGTAATTGCATTTGTAGAACAGAGAAAGCTACAGCTGGAACTCCTTTGGTGGGTAATACCACAAGAGAAGTGGTTTGTTTGCCTCGCAGGACTTGGAGGTAGCAGGTACCACAGAGGTACACGGCTAAATGTAGGAAGAGTGGTTGAAAGATTGTATATGAAAGGGCAAAACCAGAGGTTTTCTTCTCTTTCTTCTAGGCAGGAGATGGAATGGTAATTTTCTAATAAAATTTTAAGAAACAGGTTCTGATATTATGAACACACAAACAGCAGAAGGTTGTGGATTACAGATGGTGAATTAAACATGAGGGTGGTGGTAGGGGATGGGCTGGGGGAAGAAGTTAAAATTCCCATTAAGCACTGAAATGGTAAAACCCTCTAGGAAATTTACACTTCTACTTATGGAATGCTGGAAACCAAGAGTGTGTGGCCCCAGGCAGAAAACAGCTTTTCTGGAAAAATCTGAACCACCCCAGGAAAAAGATCCTAGATATTGACATAGATAGATCCTGTAATGGAATAGCCAATTGGATGCCGGACCAGACCAATGAGAGCCCAACAGTTGACAAGCACTGCCCATGTACATAGAACACTTTAGTGTCTTACTCAAATAAGAACCACCAGAGATCAGCCATAATTGCAGAAAATTTCCAATGTAAAATAGAAACTAAATAAATTAACAAGGAAAAGGAAACTAGTGTGGGGTGGGGCAGAGAAAATATATGAAAAAGAACAAAAAAATATATATTTAAATGAGAATTATCATCTCTGCAGTCAAGAATAAGATAGAAACCAACAACAAGAAATAGCTTTAGTTAATAAAAATATGAAATTAAAATTATGTTAGAAGAGATAAAGAAGAAAGTGAAGAAAATTCTCCAGAAAGCAAAACAACAAAAAGGTAGAACATACATAAGAAAAGATAAGTGTCTTAAGGAATAAATCCAGGAAGACCTATATCCAACTAATAGCATTTCCAGAACAAATGTACAGAGAAAATAATTTTTTTAAATAATATTTTTTAATGAAGAAAAGTCCAAGAAATTGAAAGTATGACTTTCCTAATTAAAGAGGCTCATTTAGCAAAACAATGGGGAAAGATCAAGCGTGACACAAAATTTAAAATTTTTGGAAAAAATGAGAATGTCCTCAAAGCTTTCAAGAGAAAATCAGAACACATGGAGAGAAATAAGAAGCAGAATGTCACCAACCTCTCTAGAGCAAAAAAAAAAAAAAAGTTGAGGATGATTGAGCAATGTCTCCCAAACCCTGAGGAAAAATTATTAAAAATCTAGAATTCTAATACTGAACACATGAAGACTCTTAATACAAATAGAATTAGCATATACATGCAGTAGATCTCATAGATTTTTCCAGCTAAACTTAGAACCTCAAGCTCTCTGAAAGTTAGGACTCCTATAACTCAGCAGTCACCATAGCTATTTGCTGTAAATCATGTATGTGCCAAGTATGATGTATTTAAAAATAAATATGAGGCCACACCTCACATTCTGAACTACTAATTAAGTGTAGAGGCAGAATAAGAATATTTTTGGGCATGAAACACAAAACATTTTTTCTTTAATTTATCCTTTATTAGAAAAGTATTGGAGGGTATGCTCCAGAAAATGGGGAAAATATAACATGAATAAAAATGAAAGAGAGAGAAAAAGAAAAAGAAATTTCTTAAAATGATAAAGACTAGTCTAGTTTAAAACAGAAAGATGGAGATTTCTGGAGGGAAGTATCCAGGAAAAATAATGGAATCACAGATTATTTTCTATAAGGACATATGGGAAAAAGTGATAGATCTATGACATTATTAATAAAAAAATTAAAGATAACTACGCAAGTAAAAAAACTGTCATATTAACTCCATGAAAAAGTTTTCCCCCTCAAAATCATATCGTATCATAGAAGAAATACTAGATGCTATAGTATATAACATTTATATAATCATAATAATGTTAACTCTGATTTTCATTAAATGAAAATCTTATAGAATGAAATTGGGTAAATAGGGGAGGTATAAATGAGCCAAATTCTACCTAACATAAGATGAATTAATAGATAATATCTAAAATTAATAATTCCCAAATTGAAGTATAGGCACATTGTATAGATAAGACCAGAAAAATACCATAAGGAATTAAGAGAACTGCTCAAAGAGAACAGAACCAGAGAGTATGAAGGATGGGACAGAAGACCAATGCATCAAAAGCATTTTAGTCATATTTTATTTTTCTAAATATGTGCATTTATTATTTTCATAAAAATAAAACACAATCAATTATCTATATTCTTGACCGAGAGATACCGCTTGTACTAATCTACCCAAAGGAAATGATCAAAGATGCTGTCAAAAGCGTATGTTCATTACTGGAGACAACCTAAAAGCAGAGCAATAGGGAGCTGGTTAAAGAAATGACAGTGAATCCGAAGGATGGATTAGAAAGCAATTAAAATATACTTAGTTTGGGGGCCGGCCCAGTGGCGTAGTGGCTAAGTTCACCCACTCCACTTTGGCGGCCCAGGGTTCACAGGTTCAGATCCTGGGCATGGACATACACACTGCTTATCAAGCCATGCTGTGGCAGGCGTCCCATGTATAAAGTAGAGGAAGATGGGCACGGATGTTAGCCTAGGGCCAATCTTCCTCAGCAAAAAGAGGAGGATTTGCAACAGACATTAGCTCAGGGCTAATCTTCCTTACCAAAAAAAAAAAAAAGAAAAGTACATATACATACACTTAGCTTGATTTCCACAAGACAGTGTTAAAAAAAGAAAAATCAAATTGAAAAAAAATTCAAAAGGTTATTTAATTCTTATATAATGAAAGCTAGCCCAAAATTGCCTGAATATATGTATATACGCATAGTGAAAAGTATAGAATCATCAAAATACAAAAAAATTAGGATTATACACAATTCATTGTTAACAATAACAATTCCTTGAGAAGGTGCCGATAAGGTTTGAAGAGGTTGAAAAAGGTGGGGAGAAGCCAAGTAAAACAAGGAAAGAAAGACAAAACTGACATAAATACAAAAAGTAAATGCTTATTTTAATATGTCTATGTAAAAGCATGGGTTTATTTACTAGGATAAATGAGATTAAACCATTTAAAAATACTTATGGTATGAAAAGTGAAATATGAATTGCAAAACGTGGGATATAAAATTCTATGTGATCCTGATTCTAGTGTGGAAAATTTATGTATGTTTAGAAAAAAAATGATTGAAAACATTAAACAAAAATTTTATTAGTGTCTTTTTTTTTTATCTCTCAGTGTTGGGATTGCAAGTTTTATAAGAGATTATTTAAAATTGTTGTTTGTGATTATTCTCTCTACCTTTAATTTTTCTAGATAATCAGGATACTGAGTAAACTTAAGGGTTCCTTTTATTAAAAAGCAACAACAAAAAAACTTTTCCATATTTTCCAATAGATTTACAATAGCCAAGTAATACCTTTATAATCAGAATAAAGTCAGAAAAAAATACACTCATCTAAAATCCAAATTATCAGTATCCATGACTGATTTAGCACTTAGCTTCCAAATCTAGATATTATTGTCTTCGCGCTGCTATTCTCTGACAAAGTACTTGAAGTTAATGTTCTAAGATATCTCAAAATTTCCCATCTACAGCGTAAATCTTCTGAAAAAAGAAATAACAGAACATCACAGGTTATCAGTACTCTTCAGACATCAGTATGTTTAAGACCATGGTTTGGAAGAAATTTATATATGCACTTGACTTTTATTTCTGTGCGCAAGACCTATTACTGCTATCTCTTCTATGAATCACAGAATACAATCAAATCCAACACGCAAATAAGCCTCAATGCAAAAAGAATGAGAATCCTAGCTATTGAGAGGATTATGTACATTTTTACATCCCAAATGAAAGCTTCACATTATCTGCAAGTCAAGAGAATGATAACAGATTAGTCATCACAGCTATTTGCAGTAAATCTTTTATGCGTTGTGTACAATGTATAAAAATAAACACGAGGCCATACCTTCTCAATGTATTACATATCTATAAAAATGTGTAAAATATGCATGGAAAAGATTTATGGGATGATTAAGAAGGGCATTAGTAGAGTTGAGAAAAAAAACTGGAGGAAAAAGACAAGAGAAATATTATGAAAACAAAGTCCCTTAAAATACTAAAACACAGAGCGTGGAAGAAAAATGCCCTAAGATTAGCATCACAATCTGCAGAACAGTTTCATGGAGAAGGACATGTTTGAAGTAGGCCTTGAAGAATGACACAATTTCAACAGGTAGAGAAGGAGACAAGAAAACCATGGGCGAAGGCCATGATGGAGGAGTGATTAGGACACGCTGGAGGACCAGAGGCACACATTTCAGGTGGAGAATTGAGTGATTGGAGGTGAGGTCTAAATGCTAAACTAGGACCACGTTTTAAAGCATGATGAAGTTCAGAGAGAGAAGCCTGTACTTAAATTATTAAATAGTGAGCATTAGACTAGGCATTTCATTCATTCACTCAGTGCTGTTCATGTAGCATCTACTATGTACTGAGCACTGTGATAGGGATTGAAGATATAAAAGGAAGTCAAAAGAGGCATCATCTCTGTCCTAATGATGCATACAGTCTAGTGGAGAATATTGACACTAATTAAATGATCAAACGATGTAAAATTACATCAGTGACATAAACTATGAAATCGAGTTATTATAGAGGACTTGCCAAAGCTACTTTGCTTAGAGAAATCTTCCCTCGGAAAGCAACTCTAGAAATGGCATTGGGATGATGAAGTGAAGAAGGAAAAGCATTCCAGGCAGGTGGAAGAGAATGTCCAAAGCCTTAGGAGGGAGGAAACACAAATGGCCCCCATGCCTGCTGTACACAAAATATGAGGAAACATGGACTGAAATAAGACTAGAAAGGTAGGACAAGGCCAGATCATCATAAAAAGAGCTCAAAAGGGTTTTCATGTTATTGATGGGAGAACTAAGGCCTCAAGAAGTTAGGAAGCAGGATAGGGGTGGGGCTTGCCCAAGGTGAGACAGTGCTCATCAAATAGCAAAAAAAAACACAGGTAGCCCAACTTCAGGTTTAATTCTATTGCATTTAACAGCCCTGTCCCCCATGATCAGAGCTTAATACTGGGAAGATGGGTGGATTCAGAGGCAGCACATAGGATATATGCAGAGGGGAGAGACATAGGACAGGGACGCTGGCGATGGTGACAATGCAATCATCCAAGCAGGATGTAGTCATAGCCTGGACCCTTCAACTTTACCCTTAATAAAAGATAGTCACCTTCAAATTAAATGATATATTATTTTGAAGTATAAGACAAAGATTAAAAAACCACACACAGTTTTCACATTAGCAGAGGTGTAAACTAGCACAATCTCTTTGAAAGCCAATATTCATCCTTTTTTAAGAAAGGACACTTCTTTGTCTTGGAAACTTCTTTTCTAGGAATTCTGTTATAAATACTTATAAAATAAATATATAAAATAATATATTTGTATGTTATATATTTATATTATATATTCACATATTGTATATTAATATTATATATTTGTATATTTATATCTGTGCACATAGATTTGTGGAAAAGAAAGTTTACTGCAACATTATTCATAATTGCAAAAGACTGTAATCAAACAAATGTCAATCAATAAAGAAGTAGTTGGATAAATTATAGTACAGATATAAAATGAAATTCTGCTCGGCTATTAAAAAGACTGAGTAGACCTATGGGAATTGACATTCAGAGACCTCCATGATAAAATGGTAAATAAAGGCTAGCGGGGAGCAGAACAAGACGTGCACATAGTATGTGACCATTTGTGCAAAAATATACAAACTGTGTCTAGAAGCATATACAAAGCATATACAAGAAACTCCTAATTAGCCATTGCATCTGGAGACGAGAACTTATTAGCTAGGGGACAGGATGGACGGAACTATTTCTTAACCTAGATATTTTTATAGTTTTGAGTTTTTAATTAGGTGTAATAACTATTTATTCTAAAAAATAATAATAAATAAATATTTTGGACCAGGATGGTAGTGGTCAGAAAAGAAAGCAGGGCCTATTTGTGTTCCAGAAACATTTTAAAGGTTAGCTCTACATGGCTTGGCCAAGACTGCAAAGAATGAGGAAAAAAGGGAAGTCAAGAGTACAATCTGATTTTTGACTTCAAGGAGGATCAAGGCAAGGAAATAGAGAGGAAAAAGTGAATTGGAGAATGTAGAGGTATGACAAGCTTGGTTTTGAACATATTGAGTCTAAAGCAGTAGCAATACAGACAGAATTATACAACATTTTTCTTTTATATTAAGAGGAACCATTCTCTGGATAAAAGTCTATTACATTTGGGTATATTTTTAATAAAAGAACTTTTAAAAGTTCTAGTGGTTTTCTCTTTTTATAAGTAATCGAATACATTTATTTTGCTAATAGAAGGGAAATACGTGCCAGCAACATGCTGCTGCTTCCATGGTTCATTACACCCATGTGTGTGGAGTAGAAAGCTCGTACACACTTTGTCACTATGAAATTATAGACTTGATTCTTTTTTTTTTTTAGATTTTTTTCTTTGAGGAAGATTGGCCCTGCACTAATATCTGTTGCCAATCTTCCTCTTTTTTTTTTTTTTTTTTTTTTTCTCCCCAAAGACCCAGTACATAGTTGTGTGTCATAGTTGTAGAGTTGTAGTTCTTCTATGTGGGACACCGCCTCAGCATGGATTGATGAGCGGTGAACAGGTCTGTGCCCAGGATCCGAACTGGTGAACCCTGGGCCGCCAAAGCAGAATGCGGGAACATAACCCCTACGCCACCAGGCTGGCCCCTATAGATTTGATTCTTTGCTTTCTTTTCCCCTTTCTCTGCCAGTATGCTGATCTTTTTGTCTCCTAAAGTTGCAACATGCATATTAATGAACTTCACCAGTCATCCTTACTTTATATCCTCATCGTTGGCAAAAATCACGACGGCCCTGGAGTTGGGGGTGTCCAGGAGCTGTTTGATAATTCTATCAAAGTCAATGGTCCTGTCTTTGCGCTCTTGGGGGATTCTCACGGACTGGGCAATGCAGAGCCCACCTGTTTAAGAAAAGAAAGCAGAGTGTCAATAAAGTTCCTGCAAAGATACCAAAGGAACCAGGGAAAGTAACTGGGGAGGAGGAAATTTTGAATTCTGAGCGCACAGCACTTCCTTGGGGTTGTTGCTGAATAAGGAAAGCTTAAGACGTTATGCGGAGCCCTGAGCGGTTGTTCATATTTGGTGCACCTTCCATCATATTGCACAGCCTCATTCTCTGTGTAATGCACTTGTAAATGGCTAATTATGCCCAGGGATACCAATGATATTGATTCTGGGGGGGTAGGTTTAGGCTGACAAAGTAGATGGGAGAAGGTCTTTAAAACAAATGTAATACACTACCAGAAAACTACGATAAATAAACTACAATAAAAAACCCAAAACTGGAACATAAAGCTCATGTTTATCTCTGTGACTTTTCTAGAATTTGTATTCCCAGGACTTTATTTCCCCTTCATCCCCCTCCCAACGTTTAAAGCTCAGAGCCAATGGGAAAAATCTAAAAATAAAAGAACAACAACAACAAGAACACCAACTATTATAAATCATAGTAACAAATTTTTATTGACCATGTAGTATGTGCCCAAGCCACAATTAAGTGTTTTTTGTGTATCTCATCTTAAAAACCTTAAAAGATAGTTAGTATTACCCATTTTATGTTAGAAGAGAAGGGGATTAAATAGATAAATAGATTTGTTTATTCCAGATCTCTCAGAGCTGTTACAATATTAATTGACATCATGAATTTCAAGACAAGGAAATAAGCAGCAGTTTGCTGAGCAACTGATATACTCCCCACTACCCCACCTCTTGCTTAATAGTAGCTCCTGGATTAGTATTCTAAATAATCTATGGGTCAAAGAGAAAGTGTCTAGGAAAAATAAAAAATATTTCTAACTACATGAAAATGAAAATGCAACATATGAAAATGTATAGATTACAGCTACAGTGGTGCTTAGAGGGAAATACATATCATTAAATGCTTATGTTTGAAAAGAAGAAACATCCAAAATCAGCAACCTAAACTTCGACTTTAAGAAACAAGAGAAAGAGAATACTATATATAAACACCTTCATGCCAATAAATTCAGAACTTAAATGAAATGGAAGAATTCCTTGAAAGACACAAATTACCAAAACTGAAGGAAGAGTAGATAACCTGAATAGTCCTATATATTAAAGATACCAAATTCACAGTTAAAATAAAAAACTTCCACAAACATCCAGGCTCAGAGGGTTTCACTGAGAAATTTTACCAAACAGTTAATGAAGAAATAAAATATAATCTGCACAGTCTCTTCCAGAAAATAGAAGAGGAGAGAAAATAACTCATTTCATAAAGTCAGTATTATTCTAATACCCAAATCAGACACAGATATTAAGAAAAAGAGAAACAAACACCAATATCATTCAAGAACATACTTGCAAAAATCTTTAAAAAAAACTACCCAGACAAATCCAGCAATATAAAAAAAAAGGATAATACATCATACGCAAGTAGATTTCATGTAAGGAATGCAAGGCTGATTCTTTATTTAAAAATCAATCATTAAAATTCACATATTATCAGACTAAATACAAAAAACTATATGATCATATCCATACATGCAGAAAAAGCACTTAAAAATTCAATATACATTCCTGATAAAAACTGTAAAGTAGGATTAGAGGAGAATTTCCTTAGCCTAATAAGAGGCATCTACAAAAAACCTATAAGAAGCATCACACTTAATATTAATAAATGACAAGGCAAGACTGTCCTCTCATACCACTGCTATTCAACATTGTACTGGACATTCTTGTCAGAAGAATGAGGAAAGAAAAAGAAACAAAAGGCATACAAGTTGCAAAGGAAAAAATACAAGTGTCTGTACTTGCAGATGACAGGATTGTCTATGTAGAAATTCCCCCCAAAAAATTCCAAAAATCTCCTAGAACTAAAAAATTAATTAAGCAAGGTTGTGGGATATAAACTGAAAATAGAAAGTCAACCATATAGTTATATATCAGCAACAAACAATTGGAATTTTAAACTAAAAACAGTGTCATTAACAACATCACCCAAACATGTTGTGCTTATATATAGATCTAACAAAATATGTTAGGCAAAACACCTTATACAAAAAAAAAAAAAAAAAAAAGTAGATAAAAAAAAAAAAAAAAAAGTAGATGGGCTGGCCTGGTGGCGTAGTGGTTAAGTGCATGTGCTCAGCTTCTGTGGCCCAGGGTTCACAGGTTCGGATCCCAGGCGCGCACCGACGCACTGCTTGTCAGGCCATGCTGTGGCGGCATCCCATATAAAGTAGAGGAAGATGGGCATGGATGTTAGCCCAGGGCCAATCTTCCTCAGCAAAAAAAGAGGAGGATTGGCAATGGATGTTAGATCTGGACTAGTCTTCCTCACACAAAAAAAAGAAAAAGTAGAGATGGCAAATAAGCACATGAAAAGGTGTTCAACATCAGTCATTAGGGAAATGCTATATGCTGAAAACTATAAAACATGGCTGAAAGAAATCACAAACATTTAAATAAATTCTCGCCAATTTTATCTATAGATTCAATGCAATCTCAATCAAAATCTCAGCAAGATTTTTTTGGTATATATCAACAGCTAATTCTAACATTCATACAGAAAGCCAAAGGAGCTAGAATAGTCAAAACAACTTGGAAAAAGGAGAATAAAACTGGAGAACTCACACCACCCAAATTCAAGCTACAGTAATCACGATAGTGCGGGATTGGTGAAAGGATAGACACTCAGATCAATGGAAAAGGAAAGAAGTCCAGCAATAGACTGACACAAGGATAATCAACTGATTGTTGGCAAGAGTGCAAAGGCAATCAACGGAAAAGGGATAGTCTTTTCAACAAATGATGCTGAAACTGCTAGATATCCAATATCCACATGCATAAATAATGAATCTTAACAAATACTCTATATCATATACAAAAATTAACTCCAAGTGGATGATAGACCTAAGTGTAAAATGTAAAACAGAAAGCTTTTATAAGAAAACAAAGGGGAAATCTATGTGATCTTAAGTTTGGCAATGAGCTTTTAGATATGACATCAAAAGCACAATCCATAAATTAAAAATTGATTAATTGGATTTTATTAAAATTTAAAACTTCTGCTCTGTGAAAGATAGTATTAAAAAAATGAAAGCACGGGGCCGGCCCAGTGGCGTAATGATTAAGTTCACACGTTCCGCTTCGGCAGCCCAGGGTTCGCAAGTTCAGATCCCGGGCACAGATCTACACACCACTCATCAAGCCATGCTGCGGTGGCATCCCACATACAAAATAGAGGAAGATTGGCACAGATGTTAGCTCAGGGACAATCTTCCTCACCAAAAAACCAAAAAAGAAGAAAATGAAAATGCAAACCAGACACTTGGAGAAAATCATATATCTAAAAAAGGACTTGTACCCAGAATATATGAAGAACTCTCAAACTCAATGATTAAAACAAAACACAACTCAAACTAGGCAAAACATCTCAAAAAAAATGTAGAGATGGCAAATAAGTACATGAAAAGATGTTCAACATCAGTCATTAGAGAAACGGTAATTAAAACCACAGTGATATACCACTACATACCTATTAAAATACGTTACCAAAAAAAAAACTCCAAAAAACAAAAAACTAACAATACCAAATGCTGAAGAAGATGCAGAGCAATAAGAATGCTCCTTGATTGCTGGTGGGAATGCACAATGATACAGCCACTTTACAAAACAGTTTGACATTCCCCAAATGTTAAATACAGAGTTAACATATCAAGCAGCAGTTTGAATCCTATGTATTTATCCCAGTGAATTGAAAACTTATGTTCACATGAATGTGAGCACAAATGTTTATAGCAACTTTATTCATAATCATTAAAACTGAAAACAGCTAAGACAACTGTCAACAGGCAAATGGATAAACAAACTGTGGTACATCCATACAACAGAATACCACTCAGCAGCAAAAAGGAACTACTGATTTGTGGAAGAACATGAATAAATCTTGAATGCGTTTTGCTTAGTAAAAGGAGCCAAACCCAAAAGACTACATAGTGTATAATTTTATTCATAAGATATTCTCGAGAAAGCAAAACCATACAGGTGTAAAATAGATCAGTGAATGCTAGGGGTTGAGAGAGGGAGGAAGGATTGACTACAAAGGGAATTTTGGGATAATGAGAATTTTCTGTACAGTACTGTAGTGGTAGATACATTACTCCATACACTTGTCAAAAGCTTTAACAAGACACCACAATAATTGGACTTTACTGTATGTAAATTTTTAAAAAAAATCGACCAGGATACCAGGGGATCCTAGAATGGAATACGTACTGTAACAAATAAATCTAACTGTATTACAAATGTACGAGGAAATTTCACTGAAGAAGATAGTAGAAGAGGAGTTGACCTAAGTAACTTAAAAAATAGTGTTTTGACTGGAAATGCTAAGACTACAAACAAAAATAACTGTACATAAAATGGTACTCTGATTTATAAATTTTTCACAGGGATGTGAGTTAGCAATTCTGGAACTGCTTTCCATCTTTGAGTTGAACAAAACAGTAAATAAATTGTGGATAGTGGGAGCCAAGTGTCTTACTGTTAGAGAAAGAATTCATACATAAGCAAAAGAGAAAGGCCAGAAGGAACCATGTGGTGGTAGAGTCAGAAATATCAGTGTAAACTCATGTTTTAGAGAGAGAGAGATGCTTGCATACATGGGTTAGTATACATACATATGTATCCTAGTTTTATGCACTGAGAGAACCTGGAAGCAATGACACCTCACAGCAACCAGCACACCTAGTGCCCAGATGTTGGTTTTAATATACCATCTTTCAACAAAAAGAACCAGGTCTCTTTGGAGAAATGGCTGATTCTAAGGTTAGGGCAGCGCACCTACAAGATGAACCTGCAGTGTCAGGAAGTCAGAAGTACACAAAGGAAAAAAACTTATGGGGGCATGTCAGAAGGACACAGGAGCCACTTGAAA